GTTTTACTTCTTCCGATTGAGTTGGAAAGAAAATTTGCAAAGTGATTTTATCTTGCGAGCAACCTTGAACACTTCTTGCGTGCAGCCCGAACATGTGAATGCTTGTGTACACCGCCGCAAGGACATGCTCAAGGGAGCAAGTGAAAACGACATGCAACATGGGCATGGGCAGAAATTTTTGTCTAATTACCATCGACTTCCACACTGTTCGTAGTGAGTATCGCTTACGCCCGCCTGGTCTGCCGTCGGCCTCAAACAGTCCTGCCAGTGCCAATAGTTCCACTTCCGATTTGGTTCTTGTGGATCTCGGGGATATCACATTTAGCCCTCAGCCCTGCGCCGTGCTGCTTAATTTTCTTTCCTGTCGGGAGCGAGGGGCCCTTCTGCAGTCAGCCGCTTTTGTGCTAGATCCGGCCCGCACATCATTCTACCGCATTGCCCTGCGTGACCCCGCCCTGCAATATCGTCATGGCTGACTCCACCGCAGGTGCGCCCCAGCGCACGTCTCCGGCTGGCCTTGCCTCTGATGCGCCCGGCCACACGCCGGCGGCAGCCCACTCAGTGCCTGGTGCCATGCTGCGGGTTAATTCGGAAAATAAGGGGGTTGCGGTTTTACCTTCGGACCAACTTGTGCCAGAGGTTGCGACTTTAACGACTCTGCCTGCAGACCAACTTGTGCCAGGGGTTGCAATTACGCCTGTACCATCAGCCGAGCCGATGAGTAGCTCCGGATCCGTGCAGAATTTTCCAGATCCTTCAGAACAGCTTGTGCCGTCGAACGAGCAGCCGCTCGGTGGTGTAGTCAGTGGAGAGGCCCCGGAGTCCAGACCCGAGTTTCCACCACTCCCCCCTGCGGTTGCTAGTGGTGTAGACCTGCAATTCCCTTGTGGTTTAGGCCTGGCAGGCACTTCGAGACAACCCGAGCCTCTAAATGTGGATTCATCACCAGACTTGGAGCCGGATGGCTGGGAAGAGCAAGAAGGATGTGACGCTTCTGCAGAATGGAAGCATTACAGGGAAGTAGCTGAAACCGAGGAAGGATTGTTGAGTGAGTTCGATAAACACCTAGAGCAGCTCGCTGCCGGTTCCAGCTCCTCTTGGCGACCAGTGGGTTCAGATGCAAGCCTGAGCACACCTCCTGTAACCAGGACTTTCACTGCCAGCCTTCAGGAGCCCGAGATAACACCGCTCGTCGATGTGGCTGCCGTGGTGTCGACCGAGCTGGTCTCGAATCCATCCTTGCGTAAACTGCAGTTTCCTTGGGAGCGCGGCCCCATGCGCTCCGTTTTCAGCGAATCTCTGCCATCACTGCCATCAGTACCTAAGATGCCCTTGATTGCTAAAAAGCTCCTTGTGCCTCAGGAGCCAGCCCGTCAAGAGACAACCCACGTGTCTGTGAGTGCCAAGGTGTATCTTCAAGGTAAGCCAATTTTTGCGGTGGCCATTAAAGCCACTAAGAACCTGTCTTTCCGCGAGAGACGCGCTGAAGTCTTGGAGGTTAGTTTAGGTAAGTTGGTTGTGGGTCTTCGGCTTGTACCCCAGAACTTGGTTCCTTGTACACTGCTGCGCAGCGGGAAGGTCGACCCAGAATCAGTGACGGCTGCTGTCGGCACTCGCTCCCCTTGGACCATAGACAAGCGTGCGAATGCCTTCAACACATTTCTCAGATGGTACCTTAACGGCCCCGCGACAGAGTCGGACTGCTTATCAGAGGCGTCACTGTGGGCGTATATGACCGACCTCAAAAAGGCGGGTGCAGCTGCCTCGAAGGGGGCTGGGATCCTCAGTGCGATGCGTTTCCTTCATCATGTGCTTGGTTTCCACTTGGACGATGTCCTGCAAAGCCGGCGAGTTTGTGGGATCGCCGAACAAATGTCAGTTGGAGTTCAATGGTTGCGCCAAGCCGAAGCGTTGACAGTGGGCGAAACATGCCGATTGCACACCATGGTGGAGGATAGGGGAGCTCACAGCTTCGATCGCGCCATGTCGGCCAGGTGCCTCTTTGCCCTGTATGGCCGTTGTAGGAACAGCGACCTTTCGGACATTCAGTGGATTGAGCATGAGTTCAACGATTCTTCAGGGTACGTTGTCCTGTATCTTGGGATGCATAAAACCAACAGTGTTACGGCACGATCCAAGAAGCTCCTCCCGGTGCTGATCCCTGCAGTGGGCGTCACTGGCTCCCAGTGGGTGTCAGTGGCTCTCAACGCTCTCAGCGCAGTAGGCATGGAGGTCCAAGGCAAAGTTGAGGGTCCGCTTCTGAAGGCCCCCATATCTGCAGATGGAGAAATGCTGGCTAAGCGTGAGATCAGAGCAGCAGAGGTTACGTCATTCTTGAGGATCGCCTTGGGCCCGGTGTGTGATGAAGAGCGCCTGAAGCGCATCTCATCACATTCGCTCAAACGCACTCCACTCGCATGGTGTTCGAAGCACGGTGTGAGCGAGCCAGTGAGGTCAGTGTTAGGCAGACATGCATCGGCCACAGCCGGATCGCAGGCGATTTATGCCGTCGACTTAGCCACGTCGGCAGTGAAAGAGTTTGAGCAGGTCCTTCAAGACATCTCTTCAGGACGCTTCAAACCAGACAATTCGCGTGCTGAGTATTTCACTGCACTTCCCCAGCCGTCTGAGGCTGCGGTTAAGTCGGAGCCAGACGCCTGTGATGAGGTACCGAGCCAGGGCGAGATTGTGGACATCAGTTCGGATTCCAGCTCCTCATCCGACAGCGAGAGTGCTGAGAGTTCAGGAACATCATCCGAGGACGAGCAGCCCGCTCAGAAGGTCCAAAAGCAGGACTGGCCGTGGGGCTTGAAAGACTCGCTCGTGCATGTGAAGTCCAAGAAATGTCATTATGTGATTGCACGGTCAGGGGGAGGAAACGCCATTTTGGCTTGTGGTAAAGTTGGGACATCCAATTATGTCGTCCCAAAAAGTTTTGGGCAGGTCAGTGGCACATGTCACAACTGTAGACGGGTAGCTGCCGGCCTTTAAAGGCTAGTCCGAGGGGACTCGTGCGAGGGCACAAAAGATGAGCAGCTCACGGTAATTTGCCGTGGAATCGGAAGGAGTGCGCAGTATTCGTTGAGGGCATGCAGTGTCTGTGAGCGCAGCCTAGGAGTGCATGTGAGAATCATTGCTGAACCACCCGCGCAGTCCCGGCTGAGAGTCTTGACATGCTGAGCGTCATGCGATTAGGTCACAACATGGCAACAGACTACATGTGCTGCAAACTAGGAACACTACAGCTTGAGTCTCTCGACCGAAGTACTTTTCGCAATGTCTGCCATCCTTGATTCTGAGGCTCACTTTCAACGACGATGCAAGGAGATCAAATTGAGCCAGCCAACGGTGGGCAAGCTAGAGGGTCTGGGAGTTAAGACGCTGGGAACCACAGCGCATCTTATAGGGACTCCCGGTCAAGACCTGCCCGAAGAGGCCTTGAAGGAGTGGCTTGATTCGAATCTCCCTGGACTGTCCTTGGGGGATGTTGCTGCCTTTAAGCGTCTGTTGTTCGAGTCGCAAACCCTTCAGCTCAGTGCGCTTCGTCAGTCAATCCTGGATCCAGACAATACCACAAAACAGAAGCTACCCGAGGCTGAAAAGTCCCAACGCTTGACAATGTTTAAGGCTGCTAACCCTGGGTTGCACATCGACTCAACAATGGAGCCTGGGCATTCATTGCTAGACTTGACTTGTGAGCAGCACCGCGAAAATGTTTTCAAGCACATTCCGATTGAGAAGTGTGTCTCCCGCCAGCACGAGCTCTTGAATCACCATAAGCCGTCGAAAGTTCTTGAAGTGGAGGCGGGGAAGATCGCAGTGCGTGAACATGCTGAAACCACGGATCAACCAGTTCACGGCGCATTGGCATTGCTTGAGGGGTTTAAACGCAGAGGGTATGCTTATGTCATGGCAAATTGTGTCAGCCTCAGTGCGTATGAAAGCTACCTGGCTAAGCTTATGATGCACTTTCGCCGACCTGCCCCAGCAAACCACCAGCGCGTCGGCATCGAGCAGTTGATTCAGGCAGACAAGGCCGTTTGTACTGGTGGACTTGTCCACTGGTGTTTTGCAAATGGAAAAACGGTTTCCTTTCTTTTGGTAAAACTGGAAAGTTTTCCTTTATTCGCTTTTGCCAGTGCCTGCATCTTCTTGCCTCAGTACATGTCGTGGAAGCTCTGTGCATCCGCACTCCGCTTTGGATCAAGTTGCAGCGAAGTCGCTTCGCAATTTTGACACACATCGCAAAGCCATCAGCTTCGATGGCCGCATTAGACACATGACACTTCCTTTCTCAGGAGAGCGTTGGGCCCTCACGGCCTTTTCCCTGCCTGACGTGTGTTGTGCCGAACTTGAGTTTCTGGGTTTCCCACTGCCGCCTCCGGCGGAATTGTCGGTTTTTACAGAAAAACCCAAGATCCCGCCGGGCCGCTTGAGAGGGGGTCCTGAGATCCGAGCAGGGATGTCGGCAGCTATCACTGCCTCACCGTCTCCCCTCTTGGGTTCTAGTCCTGCCCCTAATCCCTCAACCTCCCCCACCTCGCCCGCGGGGCTCGAGGAAGCAGACATCACTTCATCGCGCTTACTAGCAGGGACGCACATTCAGGAAGATGTTCCATCCAGTGGCAGCCCTGGGTCAGCCTCCGATGCGTCCGCAGATGTCCCTCCTGCGCAACATCTCCCTTCAGCACATCCAATGCCCGGGGTACCGGAGGCCGCCTCGACTACTAAGCAGCACGAGCCTCAGTCGTGCAGGGAACATGCAGTCCATTCCAAGTCGGCATCGTCTAAGCTGCCACTGGGATGCAAACTGTGGGGAAAACGCTCCACGTCAGGTTTGTTTCTCTCCCACAAGCTTAGGGTTGCACGCCCCTTGTCACCACCGGAGGGCGCTTGGCGAGCTGATACTTGCATTTCTTCCCTCCCGGCGCGTCTTTTTCTCGAGATCACATGGAGCAATCACTCGCGCCATCAGCTTAGCATGGCTGTCCGTGCTTCAGGTGGAAACTCCCTCACCCTAAGCCCCAGCCTTGACCCGACCCTGGATGTCCTTTGCCCAGACCTCCTCGAGCAGGTCCTCTTCCTTTGCGGCTCGGGAGCTGTCGTGTATCTAGCAGCATCGCCACTAGCCGAGTCAGCAGACTCGCCAGACGACGTGGGTTCCTCCTCGTGGCTGCTGTCGGCAATGCACGAGCAAACGGCGGCTGCAAAGGTTTCCCGTTGCACCTGGCTCCTCAGCATTGTACACACTGCAGGGGGTCAAGGGCATTTGGAGTTGCCCCCCACTTCTTCTTACTGGTCGTCTGAGCGGCCCCAGGCCTGGTTGCATCAGGGCAACTGTGCTCTGATCTTGATACCCCCATTACTGCACTCAGACTCAGCTGTTCCGGGCCAGCCCCAGCTTTGGGCTGCTTCATACCGCCCGCTTTCCGCCCTGGCGGCCAGCTCGCCCGCCTTCGCTCCCCCGCAACGCGCAAGTGAATTTGCATCTTCCTTTGCCACGATCGCTGCCCCTCTGCTCCCGGCAGAGGGCCGCGTGCTCTCCCTGCAGTCAGTCATCACGTCTATTCCACGCAAAGGCCTTTTCGCAGGCCCACATGCACTTCATGATGGAGCTGGAAAACGCTCCATTGCCGATTGGAGCAGCCCTGCAAGCCATGATGCATTTCGGGGATTACGCAAAGCCCTGCTGCAATTCTGCATCTCAGCTCGAGCCGACAAACGCTTGCTTGCTCGCGGTTCCTGCCCGTCGACTGAACCGCTTTTCAGCTCTTCCGAAGTGTCCGCAGCCAGGGATCTGGTGTTTCCTTCGCTGGGTATGCAGACCCCGGACAACGCTTGGTATGTGCATCCATACCAACCCATGTGCTTGCACGCTTTTGAAGCCCTGGCACAACATTGTGGCGATCAGGACATTCATTTGTTTCCGCATTTGCGTATGGGTGTGCCAACCGGGTACTTGAATGACATCCCCCCTTCCAACTGTTTCTGGCCTCCCAAAGGCCAATCAGGGGAGCTGATTCCATTGGCGCTCAATCTTGAAAACTGGAAGTCGGCCGATGTGGCTCCTGAGGTCACTTCGCGCTTGTTCCAAGAGGAGTTGGACGCGGGATACTGCTTTAAGTTTGAGGGCACGCTTGAGGAAGCGAAAAGTAGATGGCCCGTGGGCCTAGCACTGGGAAAATTGGGAGTTGTTAGGGCACCGGGGAGGGCCGAACGACTCGTGTTGGACAACAGCGTAGCTGGGACCAACTCTCAGTGCACAGTGCCGGAACGTCAATGTTTCCCGAGCATACACGATGTTTCGCATTCTTTCCCGATTCGCGAGACTTCCGACCGCCAGATGGCCATTTGCATTGATGTCAAGCAGGCGCACAAGCGCTGCCGCATCCGCGATTCCGAGCAGGGCCTGCTCGGCTTCACTTGGCACAACGCACTATACTTCTTTCGCTGCTGCCCATTCGGAGCAGTTTTCTCACAGCATTGGTGGGGTCGCGTGGGAGGGTGCACTTTGCGCCTGTTACACACCCTGCTGTTCCTGGCCCATGTGGGCCTCCTTTTCGTGGACGACTTCATTTTCAGCCAAGCGGCCAGCCTCATGCCGCTTTCGGGAGCTGTGATATGCCTCTTCCTTCAGATCTTGGGTGTTCCAGTCAGTTGGAAAAAATTACAAATTTCTTGTCGGGTCGATTGGATTGGATGGCGGTTGTGCTTCTCTTCGGGTACGGTTAGTCTCAGGGAAGAAAAACGCTTGCGCCTCCTTGAACAAGTGCGTTCCCTTCTGAGGGGCGGTGGCCGTATCTCTACCAAGGAACTGGAATCCTTTCTGGGCCTTGCCATGTGGGCCTGTGCACTCTTCCCCACTATGCGTGCCATGCTGCACCCTTTCTACAAAGACCTGTGGTCTCCGGCTGCTACTAATTTCAGCATTGCTCCGGAATCGTGGCATAGCATCTGTAATTTTCTTGATTCTTCACTCAGGTTTAAGGCCTCACCGCCTCACACTGCCATCCCCGCGGGTGCTAAGCTCCTCTCGGCTCGTCATGTGCCTTTCGCAACCCTGGCAGACTTGTCCAAAGTCGCCGTGACGCACAAAAGATTGTGGCTCCGCGTTGAATGCCTTAGCAGTTCGAGGCGGAAACTCTCAAGTGCCTCCATCCGCTCGTTGCAGGCCTTCGAGCGTTGGTTGCAACACGTGGCACCACTCGCCAGCATGCGCCCGTCACAGGTTGCAGACGTTGAAGCCTTTGCCGATGCATCGGCGTCCGGCCCATCTTGCAGTTTGGGGGGTTTTGTTTCTTGTCCGGTTCTAGGCCAGGTTTGGTTCACGGAAACCTTTTCGGTCCAGGAATTTGAAGCCGCAGGCATTCCTTTCGGCAATGACCTGGCTAAGGAGATAGCCAGTTGTGAAGCCCTGGCTCAGGCGGGGCTGATTCTTGCTCTCTCTAGGCTGGCTCCTTGCAGCAGGGTTCCTTTACGCCTTCCGTCCCTCTGCGATAACTCAGGGGCGGAGGCAGGTCTGAATAAGATGTTTTCCACAAAGTTTCCCCTCGGCCTCGTTCTTGAACACATCGCCCTCCTGGCGGCCATGCGTCGCATCTCTATCGATGTGTCTCAGTCCCAGGTGCCAAGAACTGCAAAGCCGACGCACTTAGCCGGCCAGCTGAGTACCCCACACCTCCAGACTGCCTTCCGTGCCAGCGCATACGCTTTGGGCTCTCTGCTCTCTGGGAGCCTGGTCCTGCGGTGCAGATTTTCCCTTCCAGCTTCACCCTGCCTTGGCTTCGTTGAAATCTGCCACCCCCTTCAGCCCACACTTCCTTGGCTTTCTTGAGCGTGCTGTGGGGTGGCAAATTACCTTGGTGCAACAGTCGCCACCCCACAGAAGGCATCCTCGGGTCAACCCGTTTGTATGCCTGCACAGCCGATCTTTGTGATCCCATCGAAAAATGAGTGGACCGAGCTCGGATTGCATTCATTTTCCGTTCTCGGGTTTAGGGTTTAGGATTTGGTTTAGGGTAACGGTTTTCCTTAGCAGAACGTACTGGTGGACTTGTCCACTGGTGTTTTGCAAATGGAAAAACGGTTTCCTTTCTTTTGGTAAAACTGGAAAGTTTTCCTTTATTCGCTTTTGCCAGTGCCTGCATCTTCTTGCCTCAGTACATGTCGTGGAAGCTCTGTGCATCCGCACTCCGCTTTGGATCAAGTTGCAGCGAAGTCGCTTCGCAATTTTGATTTCCCACCCGACCCGCCCTGTTTTCGCTTGCGTGCACGCCGGCCTCGGCTAGGCCCGGCTCATCTTCACTCTCACTTTGTGCTTTGCCTCTGGCATCCTGCCACGGGTACTGTGCTTGCGCAAGCTGCTGCCTTCACATCACCATTGCTTCTTCTAATGCTGCTCACGGCAGCGCGCAGCTGCCGCACCATGTCGTTCGGTGCTCCCTGCTGGGCCCGCCATTGGCCCCAATGCGTTTCACCGCCGTAGTCTGCAGGTCACCTCTTGCTTGTAGCCTCTGCTCTAGCGTGGACTGCTCAGTCCCGGAGGACCCTTCTGGTCGCTCCCTTAGTCCGAAGCTGTCACTCAAGTGTTGTAGCTTCACTCGTAGTTCTTTTGTCCGTGGGGTGGTGCAACAGTCGCCACCCCACAGAAGGCATCCTCGGGTCAACCCGTTTGTATGCCTGCACAGCCGATCTTTGTGATCCCATCGAAAATTGAGTGGACCGAGCTCGGATTGCATTCATTTTCCGTTCTCGGGTTTAGGGTTTAGGATTTGGTTTAGGGTAACGGTTTTCCTTAGCAGAACGGGTGCATATGCTTGAGGAAAACAAAAGACCCCGTGCCAACCCGGATGGAAGCTGTGACATGGACCGTGCACTTCATGTCGCTCTTGAATCCTACGCGGTGTCCTCCTTGCTTGTCCCCCTGCCGACGGGTTTCAAGCGAAAGAACACAGCCAACATTGATAATGCCAATAAGTGGCGTAATCATGAGGGCTCCAAAGGGGGCAAAGGCGCAGGCAAGGGCAAACAACCAGGCAAGGGCAAAACGGGGAAGGGTAAGGGCGCCCAGGATGCTAGCAGCATTCCTATGCCCTTAGTTTTGCGACAGAAAGGAGCCAAGCCCATGACGAGACAGGGGCAGCGCATCTGCTTCGCGTACAACCTAGAGGGATGCACGCATCCCAACTGCAGCAGAGCCCACGTGTGTGCCAAGTGCGAGGGAGCTCACCCCATCGGCCAATGTCCGGCCGCGGGTGGAGCTTGAATCGATCCTGTCTTGATTAATGATCCTGCTGAGCGCGTCCATGACTGTTCAGCTGTAGATACCTTGACAGGAGACCTCGGTGCACAACAGGATCAAGTGCATGCCACAGCTGAGGATTTCGCAGCTGCTTGCCTCAGTAAGCCTAGAATTACTTCTGATGACATAATACAGCTCATAAGCTTGTTGCCTTCGGAAGCACCCGCCAGATCACATCCTGACATCACCTACCAATCCAGTTTTTCCTTCAGTGCCGGTGCCTATGTCCAAGGCCCTATGTTGGGGCTGCGCCGCACGTGTCATGAATTCCCGACCGTGTGTCGGATGCTGACCACTTATGCTAAGAGTTGGGGACACGAGTTGCCGTTCACTTCCTTGGCCTTGATGGCTCAGGTGCTCACACCGCTGCACGCAGACCGAAATAATGCCAAAGGATTCCCAAAT